TGCAGTATACTAAATGAACTCACAAAGTTGGTCGAAAGAGCACTTTACAATTGATGCAGCAACCTTGACTGCTTGTGGACCAATTAATGATGGTGTAGGGATAGGATCATCATCAGACGGAATAGAGGATGATGGTGGTGTAGGGATGCAATCTTGCTCATCATTTTCGGCATTCGTTACGTTTTCTTGAGAACTAGTCTCTGCAGGTTGTTTATTATAATCAGAAACAATAGAGGTCGGGTTCTCCGGTTGGTCGATGTTTCCTGACGCATTTTGGATATCATGGCATTTGGGTTCTTTTGTAACTGAAGTCGATGAAGTAGATTGATCTTGTCCTGGCAGGCCATATTCCATTTGTTCGTCATTGTGTAATACGTCGTGGTTCTCAAACATCGCAAAGAAATCCAATAATAATTGCATTGGGATTGCCAGACGAAGCACTTGAGATTTTCCTCTCGAATATAGACCTAAAATATATTGGCCTAAGTATAGTTGCAGTTGTTGAATTGTGAAAGTGTCACCGTCAAGATTTTATTTGGCCTTACTGTTACCATTAAATCATTTAAATGTATGCTAAATCTGTCTGTACCAGTGTTGGTAGTACCAATGTGAAAATGCTGTGCTGAGTGGTTATATTACTACCTTAAAAAATAAGCAGAAACTCGACGTTTCCAGTGAAGGCCCTTCATCAAGAAGTTAATAGTAACTCTTGACGAATCGCTCGAAACGTCGAGTTTGTGCTTATTTTTTAACTCCTTTTCGACCGACCCTGTGAAAACTATTGCAGATCTGCAATAGTATTTTGGAGGTTCATATCTTCGGTTCAGTACATGCTACGTAGATGAAAATAACCACCATTCGATTCAGCGAAATAATATCTCCTGATTTCTAGTGATAGTTTTATAGTCAAACACAAATATTATAGCGATTTATGACCTTTGAAGGGTCGAGAGGTATCATATTTCAACAAATTACATGTTTGTTCTAAAAATGTAAACAATGTAGCACTAAAACCATGCCTTTTGCTGGACACAACTTTGGCCCCTTCGAACGTGTGTTTTTCATTGTAGTCTTGTTCGATTCACAATCAAAAACACTATTTACAGTGTTATTTTGAGGCTTGTAGCCTCGGATTTTCGTCTTTTATTTCGATATTTCATTCTGTTGCGATGTTAGTGAAGTCAGCGGGATATTTTTTGACCGGAAATGCGATTTTGCAGACCTGCAATAGTATTTTGGAGGTTCATATCTTTGGTTCAGTACATGCTACGTAGATGAAAATACCACCATTCAATTCAGCGAAATAATATTTCCTGATTCATAATGATAGTTTTAGTCAAAGACAAACATTATAGCGATTTATGACCTTTGAAGGGTCAAGACGTATCATATTTCAACAAATTACATATTTGTTCGAAAAATGTTAACAATTTGTCACTAAAGCCATACCTTTTGCCAGACACAACTTTGGCCCCTTCAAACATGTATTTTTTGTTGTAGTCTTGTTCGATTCACAATCAAAAACACTATTTACAGTGTTATTTTGAACCTTGTAGCCTCAGTTCTTCGCCTTTTATTTCGATATTTCAATCTGTTGCGATATTAGCAAACTCAGCGGGATATTTTTTGACCGGAAATGCGATTTAAATTCGCCAAAACATCGCGTGTTTACATCCTAGCGCTCGGGAAACGTCGGAAATCGATTCTAAAGGTCAAATTACATCTGCAGCATGATTTGCACGTGCATCGGGCTACGGGTACTTCTTATTCTCCAATTTTAGCGTGTGGCACGCGCGTGCGAGAAAAAAACAAGAAAAACGCGATATTTTTAAAAACTCAAAATAAACATTTCTACTGGCTGTATTCAAATGAAATTTTGGATATAAAAGCGCTTGAATACAAGGAATATTTCACTCTTATTGATTTGAGCCGAACTCTGAAGAATTCACAAGTTATTTACGCTATTGTGGAAACAAAATTCCGAAATTTTTGGCCAAGCGGTGAGTAAATATGTGATTGTTTCGGTTTGTGTAATGCTTTGACGGCATTCGACCCCCCGTTGAAAAGGTTATTTTATTAGGATTTCAATGGTATTCTTTGTTTTAAAGGGGGGTGAATACGCGCTGAGATATTTACGTTATAAACAATTGAGTTGTAAATCGTCAAAATGTCGCTGGTCGATAAAGAGTTAATGTATGTTTGTATAACGATAGTTGTATAAGCATGTGTATAGGAGTAACACTCAGTAAAGATTTAAGATGGAATGTACACATCAATTCATTAATCAAGAAAACATCTAAAAGATTGTATTTTATCTCTGAACTAAAACAGACCAAAGACCTAATCAAGTTTTATGTTGCTTGTATATGTTCTGTTCTACTTTATGCTTGTCAAGTTTATCACTATAACCTTTCTGAGTATCTAAGTAAGTCCTTAGAACAAATCCAAAAGCAGGCGATGAAGATCATTTACGGATGATACCTTGTACAATTCCGCCCTTGAGCAAGCAGGAATTAATGAACTTTCTGACTGCAGACAACATTTATGTGATAAGTTTTTTATCAAAGTAATCGTGAATCCTGCAGACTGACTCCACAACCTTGTTCCACGTAACGAAAATCAAAGAAACTATCTCAGGATTGTAAGACCTTTTACTATTCCAATATGTAAAACCAATCGATCTAAAAAACCTTTTTAATATCTAGCTCTCTTCACTACAACAAGAATATTTCCAACAACTGTAATTATGAATAAATTTTAAATAGTAGATTATTAAATTACCATTGTAAATTAATACCTTAATAATTCAGCTTACTAGCTGCAAAAAGTTTTTTTTCATTAAACAAACTATATAGAACTATATCTTTTATTGTTTTTAGATTTGAAATTTTAGTCATAGTGAACATGTAAGTTTTAACATTTGTCAGTGATTAGGTATATAAGGAACTGAATATTACTTGTAGTTAGTCCACTGAAGAAGTAACTGGAGAAACGTTTGGACGGTTTTAATATTTTAAACTTTTTATTAAAATTTTAATGTCTGAAGAAGAATTACAAACAGGTGTTTGCGTGGGGGTTGGGGAAAGCTCTGCACCCGAAGCCCTGGTCGACCATAATGAGTAGTGATTTGAATTTGGCAGGTATTTGTGGTGTTGGGATTAGGGTATGACGTTATGGTGTGACATGTCATGTTGTGATTGGCTGTTGGATTTTGCCCATTTTTGGGGGGCGGGCATGCGGGTTGTTGTGTTTTTTTAAAAGTAATTTGAGGTATTTTGAGGTTTTATTGACTATATTACATTTTTATTGCTACTATTTCCAGGCGAATGGAAGATATTTACTTGTTGGCTGCCTATTTTTAGCAGTTCTACAGCGTTTATTTTATCTATTCTATCTATTTATTATATCTATCTTTTTTTATTATTTCTAGGCTGTTCTTTCTTTCTTTCTTTCTTTCTTCTGTTATTAGTCTAGGACCTGTAAATGAGTTTGTATGCATTTAATTTAGGACAGATAATCTCAACTGTTTTAGGGCAAGTTGACCATGACGGTCAACATGGTAATGCTGCCCGAACCCCAATCCGGGACGAAACGTCCGAAACTGACCACACCCAAAAACAATGCTTTTGCCATAGTGCTATCTACCAAACCATAAAAGCTTTGGCTATTCTGAGGTGCTTATATGGTTCAGAGATGGTGGTTTTAGGGGTGGTCCTTGGTAAGTGTGAAATGCCTAGCACTGATATTTCACAAGAAAATGACCATGCGTCATAGTCAAAACATAGTCAAACGTCAATTTGTGGCTTACAACTTCAAATAAACAGCAGTGGATCTACATCACTTTTTTCCTAAATCTTTTTTATAGAAACATAATTGGTACTTATTTAATTATATTATCACTGTTTTGGTGTAAAATAGTTAATATTTTGTGACCGAAATAATAATTTGAAATGTACATACCTCCTGCAAATGGACGTATTTGGCCAAATTCTCCACTTTACTCCGCTGTTTATGGCCGATCTCGTTGAAATCCTTCCAAGTATGCAATTCAGCTCAAACATAATGGTATCAAGCACATTTTAAACAAGTTTCAACTGGGTTTCAGATCCTAGCTGTTTAACCATCGACATTGTAAACAATTCGACCTTGTTATTCTTCCATCCAAGCCATTTCCATCAACGAATAACAAATTTAACCCTTTTTTAAGGGTATTAAAGTGCCACTGCAATGGAAAATTATGTCTTTTTATGTCATATTATGTCCAATTCCATTTCCTTCTTCCTTTTTTTCCAACGCAAACATGCAAATTTTTCGGCCGCCATTACTGAGTTATCAATTAGTGAGATGTCAATTTCTTAGCCGAATGTGACGTCATTTACTCAACACGCTTCTTTCCCGAAGGAGAAATTAATATTATCAAAGGCTTATACTAGGCTGTTTTTTGTTCAAAATTATGTCTTCAAAAATCTCTTTTGCCAAAAACGTTTCTTGTCATAGCTGGGGTGATGTAAATATGGAGAAAAGTGTGGATTTGTGCGAGGCCTATGATACAGTACTTCAGTCGAAGCTTTTGCCACTGAAGAAACATAATACATGAAGAGTACTATAACTGAGAGAGAGCAAGAGCAGCAAACACTGTCTGCCAGATTGTTTGGGAAAACCTCAAATGACACCTGGTACGTTTTGGATTGTATTTATTTATGTTTTGGTTATATTTGTGACATAAAACAAACTTGTGATGGCCATGTAAAACAAAACAAATGGTCACTGTTCTCCTTATAAAATATCATTGTCACCTCCATTATATTGCACGAAACGTCTTCAATGAGAGATGGCTTAAAGATGACTGTGTTGCCAAATTAGAATTTCAATTTATATACTTCAATAGTATACTTTAATATATTAATGGTCCATTGGTGTAAATGTGGTAATTGTGTCCTGGCTCATTGTTGTTTATGTGAACCCTGTAAGGAAAAAATGCTCGAAGAAAACATGCATGACTGCTGCTTAACTGAGCATCCAGCATTTGATATTGGTTGTTTGAAACATTGGTTGTTAAAACTTGCTGGTTTAAGTTACAAAACCTGAATAAAAGGCTGCCAAATTATACCACTATGTATACCAAAAGGAAAAAGAGTGAACCAGAGTAAGTATTTTAATGTGTAGTTCTAGGCTATACCCCCCTAATGGATGAGATTTAGTGAATTATGAACCATCCCTCTAGATTTTTCTAACTGTTACTGACAGCTTGTTACCCCCATCCCTGTGGAAATTCTGGACAGTTTTTTACTACTATCATACTTTCAAGCATGATGTCAGTGTTTTAAAAAAATAACTCGGCAAGATACAACATTGTTCACATAAACAATACAGAAACCGTATCTTGGCATATGCACAGCAAGGAAGGGGGTACCTTCAGGGGCGGATCTAGGATTTTTCATACCTCAGTCAAAATTTTTTTGGTGGACGGGGCGTTATCGGCGCTGGGCGTGGTCTCAACTGGGCGTGGTCGACTCCAGACGGGGGCAGTGGGCGCTAAATGCTGATAGTCCGCCACTGGATTTTTAGAATTTTCCCTACCCCCCCCCCCACACCTATTAACCTAAACCCTAATTAACCAAATTATAAAACATATTTAGATTAAATTGATAAACTCAAATGAACATTTGATTCTTATCCACAGGCACTGTAAGAACAACTACAAATGCACAAAGATATATTGATCCTATTTCAATACAAAATTTTATAGATATGTTACAATTATATAATACTTTAGAACTCATCAGCAATTTAGCATGTTTGCCTGTGGATTAATGAATCATCGTCATATTGGTACTATATGCTTATAAGTGTATCATTGTAAAACTTCTAAAATCATATGGCAGCAAATGCATTAAGGAAATATACTGTTCTGTTACCAAAAACACAGAACTATACATAAACAAGTAATTGCCAGTAGCCTGAGCTCTAAAAAACAACCACGTATTCATTAACTAAGTCAAAGATTTTAAGTCAAATATTAATAAACTAAACCCTTACTATTAATAAACTAGTAACATCAGAATGGCTACCAGTCAATGAGCTATTGAAGCTACCTAATTAAATATTTCACATCATGTTACATCAGACCAATGCGGCCCAACAAGCCATGTCGATAAGCTATGGATAAACAATGCACGTATACATGTTAACACGTACATGTTGTGTGATTAATGCATAAATATAAAGAAATTTTAAATAAAACTTCGCTAACATGAGAATCAACAAATGCTTACAATGTTGACACGAGAATTATGCTAATACAGCAATACAGCATAGCGAATATATTAAAATATCATATGTCAGACAATCATTAACAACACCGATGGCTTGGTACTCAGTAACTCCAGTTTGTAAACCTTTAATATGAACTAAGATACATCACTATAAAACCATAAATTTATCTACCTTATTGCAGTGCAAGCTTTGTCTTTCTCTAGCAGTAGCTCTCTGCGCCAAAATTTCTAGGGAGGCTTGTGCTTGTGTTGTTGATGGTGCCGCTCAGTAGCTTGTCAACAAAATTCGTCCGTGAGGCATCGATATTCTTTTCAAGCTCCATATACAAATGTTGTATAGAGATTCCAAATTGTTTGCCGCAATCGCAAACTGAACATTGTCGAAAATGTTTACAGATATCGCTGGTAGAAATCGCTCGTAATAGTAAACGTTCGAAATAGTAAACACTCAGAGGTAAACACTAATGCGGTGTTGACGAATACCTCACGCTGCGAATCCCATCGAAAATATAAGCCAATGACAGTGCAGAATATTTTTAAATGGTTCAATCAGAAGGCTCATACAGAGCCCCTGAACCTGCAAATCCGTCAGGCCTCCCCACAGATCCGTCGCAAATGGCCGTAACCATGGAAATGAGCGTGTCAGCCAATCAGATAGCCGGATTTGACCCCCGAATCCGTCAACTTTCATGCGTAAGACCGCTGTTCGTGACTGACTAACATTACTTTGCCGAAGCTCTGCCGCAGCATGAAATGTATAACTGGACTACCGGTGCGATTCAAAATTTTAGTAACTCGATCTACTGGCAACTATAGATAGCTGGAGTAAATTTTTTTTTAAGTAGGCAATTTTTACTTCAGTCGCGCGACTGATTTGACGACCCCTAGATCCGCCCCTGTAAAAGGCATCGATGTTACGGGCAAATCTTCGCTGACCATCTAACCGCGGAAGGAAAAAGCCTGGGTACAAGGTTGCTTAACATATTTATATGAAAGAAAAAAGGATCCGAAATAATCCCTGCAAACGGGGAAAAATGATGGTCATTATTTCGACGAATTGAACCAACAGATGCGGATATCGTTTTTATCTTTTAATTAAATAATAAAACAATTATTGAATTCCGTTTTCGCATAATATGAAGAATTATCCAGACTTTAGTTTGTGTCATCGCTTCGGTTGATAACACAAACTTCGCGCTTTATAATTATTTATATGATGCTCAAGCTCACTAATTTAAATATTTATAACATTGAATTACCGTTTTTGCTTTAGAACGGCACATTGAATATCATCGGCAGGAAAAAAAGTATCTTCAAGTTATCGCAGGTACGTAATTACATGCAGAAAAAATACGCATCAAAGAACTATACAAAGAATTATAAGGGAGGTACCGGATATAATGTATCCGATTCTCCGGTCATATATTTCGGATATTAATTGTTTACGCAAAGTTCCTCGTATTTCTTTTCAGTTAATGTGTAGCGATAAAGGCATGGGTAATTTATCATACGATCTTGATAAAATAGAAATGATGGAACAAAAACTAACAGTCATATATTATTCAGTGCAGTACATTTTACCTCCTCCCCCTCATGGCGAGTAGCTTTGTCAAAATGAATCCCAGAATATTATACTGAAATTCCAAATGACGTTTTGATACTCTATTACTTTTTTAACTCAGGGCGAATATGTTGCTCCTGATAAAATTGAGAATATTTATATCAAAAGTCCATACGTAGCGCAGGCATTTGTTCATGGCGATGGTCTTAAGGTAAGATTTCTTGGAAAGCAAAGGATGTTTTCGATTGTGTTTTTGTTTAATATAATTTTACAGAAGTAACTTTGGCGAAGCCATTGGAGCTACGATTCTGCGAATAAATCTCAGCATCTTGTTGGCCGTACGTATTTACTTGGGCAAGAATACGCATCACCTGTCAAAAGTACTCCAACACGTTGGTCAAATTTGGCGAAATTTCTCCCACTCGTGCGGGGCTCGTATTGTCAGCGGACATCTTACACAAAATGGCCAGTTCTTTTTTTACCGCACGTCCGCTCGAAAATGCGAGCCTGCGCTACTGGAAGAAAATGCGCTGAATATGACCTGCGTGCAAGTCACTCTAAGCTTTAATTACTCTCGCTAACGTTCTTGCCCGCATATGAAGCTACGACTAATGCGGTGTATACATTTTTGTACTGCAGTCATGTATAGTTGGAATTATTGTACCAGACGAAGAAATTCTTATGGGGTGGGCTACAGAAAATAGTTTGTCGAAAACATTTAATGAATTATGTCACAACGAGGTACGTTTATCGTTAAAAAACTATTATATAGTTAGTCGCTGAAGATCTTCTGCACAAGTGACTATAAATAGGTTGCGGCACGCATTTTTTGTGGATTTCCAGTCGTCGTAGATAGCCGCAAAATGGTATATTATGAGCAGCTCCTGCCAATTGTTACCTAAATTATCCGTAAATAACACTAATTTACCTGTGATTTTACCAAGAATTTTACTAGAAAAGCCAAAATTAACATTGAAATAGCGACCTTCGCAAATCGCGACATTCGCAATCTGTCTTTTTTGACGTACTGTATATGTTGACGCTTTATGTTGACGCTTTTAGCTGATTTAATCCCCAAGCTGATGGCGCGAAGCGCGAGGGTACTGATTCCCCCCGGCTATTTACACCCGGGGAAACGAAAGCATTAGCGAAGTCTAAAGTTCATCAATTATCGCGGGCGTGGGTGACCAACGATGTTGTGCGGGTGGTCATCCTCACTGATCTCTAAAATATGGCGGACTGTCACGAATAGCGGACATGCACTGATTCATCCAATTTAAAGTTAATAGCAAACATTTCTTGATTTGATGATTGATAAATTTCTTGCAAATATATTTCATTTTTGCTCGCATTTTTGCAAGATTTTGTAAACTTCAAAAGCTCTCTCAGAAAGAAACTGCGAAAGAATCGGCTAAAAGAAGGGAGCCGACGTTAACGAAGGTAAGTTTGTTTTAAATATTGATTTTATAATGGATTTGAAACCCGAGGGGCTTTGCGTATATGAAACAACTAAACAAGACAGCATATCATTTCAGTGTATCTTTAATATTGATTCCCTTTTTTATGATATTGAATTTTTTAAATAAAAAAGAAAGCAAAGTTATTTGCAAGCGAGAATTTTAAATCATTTTATTGCAAACTCAAAGTTTATCGATAAAGCCATTTTAAAAGGCAGTTTAGTTTTATAAAGAACACTAGTGACTTTAAAACGTTTTGCGAAGGGTTTGTGGTTGAATTTTACCTTAAATTGAGGCTTATATTACGTATAATAACATACCTAACATATATATGTTGGGAAATTAATAATTTTGTAATTAAAAGTGATATTTTTAGGCGATTTTTCATTTGTAAGAATATTCTTAAAAAATTATTGTGTTACCACGACATCTGCTTTAGATACTTCATGTTATAATTTCTAGTTATAATATTAATAGTCTAATTAACAATTAGACAACGAGGCCAAGTTGTCTATGAGCGAATAGTCACCGAAGGAGTAGCCTGAGTTGACTATTCACAACAGACAACGAGGCCGAGTTGTCTAGTTGTTTTAGTATGCACTCCTACTATATAAATACAAACTCCAGGCACAAAAGACCTTACCGTTTACTCACTTTTCACCCCATGCCTCGTTTTCGTGTCAGATACTTACTCATGTTTTGTGCTTAGTAGGGTTGAAAATTACTTTGTTATTGAGCCTAAGAACAGCAAGAAACAAATTCGTCCTGGAAAACATGGGAATATAATCGTTATCTGCCCCTGACATGCTTTTAATAAGTTAACATGGAAACGAGGCCATTGGGTAAAAGAGAATAATCGATAAGGTCTATTGGAAAGTTTTAAATAAATTTGAAAGCATGGACGAGCGTTTGAATGATTTCTTTCAACTTTCGGATGTTTCACTTGCGGCCTTTTTGTTTACTTTTTGCAAACAACCCGGCGAAACGTTTTTTAAAAATACACAGTTCGTGAGCTTTGAAAATGTTTTCAAACTGTAAACGAAATGTTGCAGTAGTTTACGTAAAAAGACGTAAAAGATATACGCAAAGCAATCCTAATGTCGTTGAAATCGATGAAATACATGACAGAATAACTGAAAAACAATATATACTTTCACCTGAAACGCATAGACAAAGTTTGACATTGAGATTTTATAAAAAAGAACTCGAAGCTATAAGGAAAGTTCTTTTTAGGTTTAAATGTCAAAGCACAAAAAAAATACCATTTAAAGCCTTAAGATATAACTGCTATCAACAAAAAATCACATTTAGACAAAGAAACACTTGAAAGACGAGGAAAACATATGTATGATTAAGTAACTACAAGCGATGTGGGTAAATATGGAGATTTTCGCCATCTCGTTCGATAGAACGAATAGTAGGTGGTATTTTTACGTATGGAATTTTCGAACGTAAAATATAAAAATTACACCAACAAACGACGCATCTACTATTAGTTCTATCGAACAAGATGCCCAGAATCTCCATATTTATCCGTGCATGTATTAGTCAATAGTCAATACTTTTTCATGACACTGTGACAGCACACAGGGGCGGCGCTGGCCCTGTTTGAATGGGGGAGGGGGGATGTAAGTGAAAGTTTCCCGAGTCTATCGTTTCCACTACTCTTGGCGAGGGGAGGGAAAAAAACAAAAAAAATTTACTGACATTTTATTTTTAAGTATCTTTCTGGTTGTCTCGTTTAGCTTTTCCTTTATATATATTTCCGTATATTTCGTCAAATTTGAGCTATAATTATTAGTTTTTAATCAGTTTCACTCCAATATGTTTATCCCCTTTCTATTCAATTCATTTTTTGCCAACTTCAGTAGGAAAACATTTCGCCGACTGGGATACAATAATTTGCCGACTATCGGACGACTGCGGGGTGTTCCAACCCCCTCAAGCGCCGCCCCTAGTTGGCAGTACGTACATTAAGTACTGACTAATTAAAGTCTGGATGGTTTGCAACATATTTTATTGGGACAGGTGAACACAGTAACGCTCGTGTTTCGCATCAATTAAAATATTCCACTCCTCAGCTATTATTTCTTTTACATAATTTTGCAGCATGTCAAAGACATGATTCTCAAGGATATCGTTGCAAGAGGAAAAGAAGCAAAGTTGGCATCATTTGAGCAGGTTTGATTATCTTTTAAATTTTAAATCATGCACTCGTTTTCGTTGATGCGCCGCTAATAAACCTCCTCAGCTTCGTATGCAATTTGCCAATTTCAGATTAGGTGATGTTTACATCTTTTTAATGCTTTTTGTGGCTAGCCCGTTTGCGGGCCAGCCACTATCACATACACAAACGCGATGATGATCATGTTGTCCAGTCCGGATTTTCGTTAAGTATCGGGAGCAATCGGATGCGCCCGTATTTTTTTGCCGACATGTCACCTTTGCCTTTCGAGGCATTTGATGATTTTGATCCATTTTGAGGACTTCTACTTCTACACTAGCATGAGCAGCATTCGCGTTATTCCTTGTGTTCCTTTAAGTAAAAGGTATTATTTGCTCATTTCTATTTTTGTTTAAGTTTGCTTTTATTGAATTATTTACAATGCTATTTTGGCTTGCTCTGGACATCTGGTCAAAGATATATTTTTGGTCCAATATAGATCAGGCATTCTTATACGTGAAGTCGACGTATCAAATCAGAAATACAGTATACAAAGGAACCAAATCAAAAATTGAAAAATACAATATTACACATGAAAGGGCCCATTGTGGCTCGTACTGATCATACAGGGCTATTTACAGTACGTGAAAGGCCAGTGGTACCAAACAAAGTACGTAACGTACCAAACAAAAACAAGCCAAGAAGGCCAGGAGTATTGTATATTGCAAACCAATTGCCATTTGTGCTGGGATTAACTACCTTGAATTTTGCTAATGTAGTCACAAGAACAACCTTGACTATTGCTATAGTACAGCAGTCCATGTAGATGAAATTATTTTAGTAATTTTGCTAGTATTTGCATTTTTTAGTATATATCTCCCTGGATGTATAAAAATTGTTGTGTTCATCATCTAATGTGCATTCACATTCCTTAATTTTGAAACTATTTGCTAAAACACCTTCTGGGTATAATAAGCATCCAGCAAGTATAACCGTATTCTTGAGTTTCATATGATTGACGTCACAAAAGTGACGGGCGGTCAACTCTAAAACAAAACACAGTTATCAGAGTGAGTCGATTGTTCGTTTTATGTATTAGCCTTGTGTTCGGTGGTAAATACATGGAATTTCGTATCATTTTCTTACTCCACTACAGCATAAGCATCAGTACATTTGAGGTTGACCCCCCGTCACATTCACTGCATAATGCTGTAGTGAAACCCAAGAATAGGCAACCCCTGCCGTTAAGCATCCTCTGGGTATAAGCACCATATGGATATAAGCATCCCCTGGGTATAAGCATCCACTAAGTGTAATCTACAGAATTTGCTAAAATTAAGACAAATGCAAAACTCAGAAATGTGTGAAATGACTTTACTTTCCCTTTATATTTTCCATACTAATTTTGCAGTCAATAATTAATGCTTCATCTGACCTGTAACATGAACAGCCCCTACAATATTGGTTAACCCATTGAGCCGCAATGTGCCCCAGTGCGCCCTACTTTTTTACTTGTCTAACGCCAGACGGTTTTACTCATCAATGGGGAAGCTTTCAACTTAATGGGTTACGAAAAGTAATCTTTCAGAAATGTGTTCAAATAATGCTGGAAATGTCATTTCAGAAACCCAAATTTTAAGACATTGTTGGAAGGGTGTATGATGCTGGAACACCTAGCTCCCCCCTGCTGAGGCTGAAGGGTGGATACAGTAATTGATATATTATACAGTTGCAAATGCAAGAGCCATGCAGCCATGCATACTAGAAGTTATGTCACCTACCGACAATTTTTCAATGTCGGAGGCAGCAAGACATTGAGAATTGTTTGTAGATTCTTAGCCAATCACCACGGAGATTGCATATGCATTGTACAATAATATCTCCTCTTATTACTATTAAAGTTAGCCTGCATGTCTTCTTATTACCAGTGGCGTAGCTAGCGGTCCCAATGTCCCACCGGGTGGGTCTAGAAATTTCAAAAAAAAAATGAGGAAATGTTTTATAGTGAAGCCAAATTCACAGCTTTTCTTATTCTGAAAATTTATAAATATTAATTATGATCATTTTTCAGTGCTTTCATTTATTTATTTAAAGTTTACGCAATGTTGCTGTCTGCTCTTTGACCTCTGAAACCCAAAATTAGCTAATTTCCACGCAATTGATTGCTTACTCACGCAATTTGTATAATCGCATGTCTCGTGTTCCGCTGATTTTCACATGGCGGAATATGTAGTACTATGTTATACATGAAATTCTGGTTTCTGATTGGATATTGGCGCAGCGCATGTTCAGAACGGCTGTTTTAATGCCGAAGTCCCGCTATTTTATAAAGACGGAGGTTGTCAACTCAATTCCATATATTAAAGAACTCCGCGAGTTTTGCAGTAGAAATACAAAAATAGCACCAAAAATTCCGCTTGAAAGATACTATGTAATTGAACAATGTAAAATAGCCATAAATTATAAACTAGCCATACTCGAACAATGTCAACTAAACATACCTATATACAATATATTCGAACAATGTAAACAATGTATCACTATTATACCTTTCGTCGAAATTATATAACTTCGGCCACTTTCAACGTTTCTTTTTGGTATTAGTCTTGTTCGAATCACAATCTAACACACTATTTAGAGTGTTATGTTCAAGCTTGTATCTGCAGATTTGCATCTTTTATTTCGGTATTTCAAAAGATCTAAATTTTACGCGAGAGCTTTGACCGGAGGTTCAAGTTCAAATATCCAAAACAATGAGATGTTTACATCCTAGCACTCGGGAAACGTTGGAAATCGATTAAGGTCAAATTACCCGTGTAGCGTGATTTGCACGTGCATCAGGCTATGGGGCTCCTTACAATTTTTTTGTATTTTACCAAGGCTGTTTAAATAGAGGTGTATTGAAATTTCGGTGGGACGATTATTTTGAGCCAGCTACGCCACTGCTCATTACTATTAAAGTTAATCAGCATGTCAGGCTCTCTGGGTTTGGAGGAGGGTTTGGGGAGTTAAAGTTTACCAGGCTAGCAACATGTACGCATTGCGTACCTATTTTTTATATTTTAATATGAATAAAAAAATATGAATTTCAGTCATCCAATGTTTGGAGTATTAAGAGGAGAAACTGTTTTAGTTTCCCTTTGGTACCAACCCAGCGCAAATATAGATAATGAACGTTCCCTGATAGGCACAAAATCAGTGTTCAGACCTGGAAAGTGTTTAATATTTCTCGTATTCTGAATGAGTTGCCTTTTTCAAAGGTTCCTCGCTGAGGAAATGACCATACATTACGCCATTATGCATGGATTTTATCGAATGTTTAGGTGAATTAGCTAAATACAAAACAGATACATACCTTGCTCAAAAATAATAACAATCCAACAAAAAATAAAAGTGCTAACAATCGTTTTAGTGAAGAATTAATATGATAGTGACGTTAATTTATCGTAAAATTAAAAATATCGCGAAAGTTATCGCAAAAATATTGCATGTTTACACCCGCCATTTTGCTTCGCACGAGTTATTTATCCGAATTTAATTCGATTGGTCTCAGTATGAAAATTAAATGAGTTACTATTACGATACGAATAATATTTTGAATGATTGAATTTAATTAAACGTACTACAAAAACTGTTGCATGATCGAGCGTGCAATAACTTTTATACTATTGTACGGTAGCAAAATTGAATTTTAATTCCATATCACGTTATCATAATCAGCCAATTAAATTACCAGAAGTTAATTAGGTGATTATAAAATCATTTAGATTCTCCCATTCCTCAATCTTTTTGCTAAGTCAAATGATATGTTCCTCACAAGTCCGAGATCCCATTTTTTCAGGTCTGTAAATGTTCCAATTTCGTTATTTTTTACTCTGCTTTCATTGTAGGTCAAAAACATTAAATTACATTCAGAGTTATTCAGTGTCGAGAATGGCTTACTCACACCAACACTAAAATCAAAACGATTGACAGTGCAGAAAAGATTCGCTAAGGAACTTCATCAATTGTTAATTTAAAGCAATGGAACAAATGGTGCAAGCCAAACTTTAATTTGGAAAGTACGTCATTAGAATTACTTTTTTATTGTATTTTTCTAACAACTTTTGCAATTCAAAATCTAAACAGAATAAAGTTACGCTATTTTTCTTTTAGTTTAATTTTTTATACGCAAGTCACTCAATTGTAATTATTTTAGATTATTCCTTGGTCAATGGTCCTAACACAAACTTTGAAACCTGTGTTTCGTTTCGTTTACTTCTGTCACATATATGAAAGTATTTTAAAAGCAGCTGTTTCCTTATTTAGGATGGTATATTTCCATGGCATTTCGTGCACATGTCTTTTTCAAGAGCATAAACCCTGCGTGCGGGCTGGGTGAACGCGAGCATACACTTTTTGAACATTCGTAATATGATCTATAATACATTACGTGATGTTGGCCGCCTCCACACTTCCACTTTTTGGAATGCGTTTGCGGTCTTGTCCTCTACCTCTTCCATTCCAGGAAGTGAGCGAGGGAGGGGAGGGAGCCAGAGCTGGCCAGTAACCCCTGAAGCATGTAACGCCTTAGATTTTGTGATGTTCGCCCAAGAATTATTTGGGGCAAAACTTACACCAGTCTTTATAGGTCAATTGAAACAGAGTTCCTCTGAGATAGGGCACTTTTGGCGGTTATTATACCCACTGACGAGATCCTTTTGTAGAACAATTAAGAAAATGACAGTTCGACCACAATTATAACCATTAATCATGTCTCATGCATTGTACAGAGAGCAAATTATGGAAAAAATGTGTGTGTGTGTGTGTGTGTGTGTGGGGCGGGGGGGGGGGGGTAATTATATATTTATCCTCCACCCCAAATAATGTGGAGGGGGGCCGCGCGTCCCCCTCCCCCTTGTCTGCGATTGAGATTTGATTGCTGCAAGTAGTTGTCTGTAGTTTTGAGAACAGCCCTTCCACGTTTAACTTATTTTATAGACCACCGCTTTTTTCTTAATTACTCCACGTTTTCTCCTCTTCTAGGGATTAATAGTACGAGTAGTGTTTGCAAATTTTGCCAAAATTGAACGAGCCGCCGTCAAAGTCCAGTCCTGCCAGACTTTCAACCAAAATTTGGTGCTTTTGTTCTTATTTTCATTTAGTTCTTTTGTTAAAGCAGAATTTGATCAATTTTCGTCTAGTTCCTCTAGGCCAATTTTATTTCACATTTGTGTTTAAAATACCTTTCCGCTATTTTGTTTGAAATATATATAGAAAATAATTTCGAAGATTTTCTTGTAGAATAATGTTTCAATCTCGTACCCAAACCACACGCGTTCGCAGGTTATGAGGTGAGGTGTACATCTGCCTCTCCGAATGTTGAAATATACATAATGATGACAGTAAAAAACGTGGTGATTAACTTTATGATCAGCGAAATCGACATTTTCAGGACCCAATTTTTCGACCGATTCCACAGGGAGCCCACCCCGGGTCTTAGTATTAGAATTACATAATAACTATGTAGCTCAGATTTGAAGCCTGCGATGTGCGGGCTAACGCGCGCGTTGAATTATTCAACGCGCGTTAACCCGCACCCAGCCCGCAACTCGTACGTTCGTTCATTCATTTAGGATTTCATGCGTTTTTTCATTCATTTGATATATTGATTCATGAAAACGGCTACATATGGCGTGCCAAGATGGACAATATTACTTTACGTCCATTTATATAATGTATATTTCAAATATATAATTTCAAATCTATATTTGTAAGCCGAAATTGCAATATATAAAACGAAACAGAAATATGTAAAACGAAACAGAAATATATACAACGAAACAGAAATATATAAAATGAAACACTCGTATATAAATCGAAACACCCATATATAAAACGACATTAGTATATATATAAAACGAAATATTCCAAAATATATGAAACGAATTTTCCCAAATATATGAAACGAAATTCGTCAAATATATAAAACCAAATTCCTCAAATATATAAAACGACATTTTACTAAAATAAAACGACATTTTTGGCGGAGAAAGAGCGCGCTAAATTATCCGGAGTAAATGTTCTGTAAACCGCGCTTATGCAAATATGGCGGGCAACAGAAAGCTGCAAAGTTTATCAAATCCTGTCAAAGCAATTTCTCGATTGAGTCAAAATAGCACAGAGACCCGTAATCGTGGGGAGACGCAAGAAACTACAGACGACGTGGAAGCAACGATACGAACGCTCTTTCCTTCAACGAATGGTCAGACAGAAGCAAACCGAAATGAAATTCGTGTGGTCGCTGAACATGACACCCTGATTTCATCAGGCCCCCACTTCTCGCACATCGGTAGGTGCTGCTGCAGCGTCAGCCGCAACCACACAACGCATAGAGTTAATTTATACAGTTTATGCCTTCTGCATTATTTTGTAATATAAAGTAAAGAGTTTTTTGACTCATCAATGTAATTGTTCTTTGCCTTCGCAGTACGCCACCCTCCTTGCCTCTGTAGCAGGCGGTCTGGAATACCGAGAGCAGCTGCACTTGTAGCACCACCAGATCGTAAACTGTGAAGTCCGTAATCTTTAGCATCAAGGACCTTCTTCCTTCACTAATTCTTTCTTGACCAACTCGCTAGCACGCCTGTATGTCATAGGTGTGCTCAGAAGTATCTGACCATATTTGGTACTCTGGATACGCCTCCAAATGGAGGTTCCTGGCTTCCAAATATGGTCAGATACTTCTGAGCACACCTATGACATACAGGCGTGCTAGCGAGTTGGTCAAGAAAGAATTAGTGAAGGAAGGTCTTGATGCTAAAGATTACAGACTTCACAGTTTACGATCTGGTGGTGCTACAACTGCAGCTGCTCTTGGTAGTCCAGACCGCCTGCTACAGAGGCAAGGAGGGTGGCGTACTGCGAAGGCAAAGAACAATTACATTGATGAGTCAAAAAACTCTTTACTTCACATTGGGTCATTCCAGAAAAGATCCATCCC